CAGGCCCCATGATGATGCGGTTGTGTGCAGTACGTCGACATCAGACTGAAAATTCGACATGTCGATCTCAGGTTTGGTGATGCACATGTATACCTTCAAGTCGTCCGCAAAAATCTTGTACTGGCACCTGAGCTGGGTCGCTAGATGGTTTATATAGATAAGGAAGAGCGCTGGTCCCAGGATGGAGCCTTGCGGCACGCCGCTGCGCACACTTCTTGGGGTGCTCAGGGTGCTCTTCACCACCACCCGCATGGTACGGTCCATGAGGAATTCTTGCAGCCATGTCAGGATGGTTCCTCGAAGACCGATGCACCTGAGCTTCTCGATGAGGACGACATGGCTCACTGTGTCAAAGGCCTTGGAGAAATCATAGAGAATCAGGTCTACGATGTGCCCGTCATCCCACTGCTTTGATATATAGTCATAAGTGAGAAGAAGCTGGTCTTCGGTTGATCGTCCCGACCTGAATCCGAACTGTTCGTCTGCAAGAATTGAGTTTTCTGTCAGGAAATCGCGCAGTTCACGATAGATCAGATGTTCCAGGCACTTGGATGGTACTGATAGGAGGCTCACTGGGCGATAGTTAAGGGGGTCGAGACGACACCCCTTCTTGTAGATGGGCACAACGTGTGACAGTTTCCAGAGAGCAGGCAAGACTCCCTCTGACAGTGACAGCTTGAAGATCCGGTGCAGTGGTTGTGCTAGCTTCGAAGCGCAAGCCTTTAGCAGGTGAGGGTGAAGACCATCCGGCCCCATGGCGGAGTTGACGCACAGTTGGGAGAGTATTGTCCTGACGTCTTCTACTGTGAACTCAACATGTTCAAGTATCGCGTCACATGACTGGTGAGAAGCTGGGTTGGGTAGATCCTGATTGGAGAACGTTTCAGCAAACGCCTCAACAAAAACATCTGCCATCGACTTCGGGTCGTCGATGATCGATCCCGAAGGCGCCTTCAGCGGTCCGACTGATGACCTGCATTGTTTCTTGTGGCGCAGATAGGCATGGAGCAGTTTCGGGCTTTCTTTCAACTTAGACAAGAGAGTCTTCTCGTAGTCGATCTGCGAGCGAACGGCAAAGTTGCGGAGTTGTTTATTTACGCCTAAGAAATCATTCAGTCGTGATCGGGTTGTTGGCGCTTGCTTGCCGTAGGATGCTCGGGCTTGTTTGTATGCTGACCAGGTGGATGCTCGTCGACGTTTGAGCGAAGAAGGTGGGTTGGTTTTCCATGGGACCCGGCGAGCCTTTCCTTGCTTGGCAGTTGGTATCAGTTGAGATATCAGTGGGCACAAGATGTCCATCAATCTCTTGAGTGCTTCTTGCGCAGTGAGGAATTGGAATTCGAAATCCCAGTCTATGTCTGCCAAGATGGCATTCATGTCTCCATATCTCCCTCTTTCCCATAAGAGGTGATGGAGCGAGGTGTGTTGCAATGCGATTTCAACATCAAAGAAGTACTGACAGTGGATGCTGCAGTGGTCACAGCCAGGAGGAGGAGCTTGGACCGACACCAGCCCCATTCGATCGTTCTCGTTTGTTAAGATCAAGTCAAGAATGTTCCCCGAGCGTGGGAATGTGGGCTCCGTGACCCACTGCGTCAAGCCGAGCAGATCGAACAAGTTGCTGAATCGGGTGTCAGATGCTGAGGCGCGTCTCGTCGGGTCGTCAGGTGAGCTCCAATCTATAGTGGGGAGATTGAAATCGCCTAGGAGCACGGCTTCCTTGTCGATGCAGCTACTTGTGAGAAATGATTGGAGGCAGTCATTATCAGCAGCTGAGTATGAAGGGGGCCTGTACACCACGTAAATGTATGTGTCGAACCTGGTCATGCGGAATGACAAGACATTGCGGAATGAAGCGCTGACATTGTCGATTTGAAGATGTTCAGCCACATAAGCCGCCACTCCGTGAGCTTTGGTCGTTCCGCTGTCATTTCGCATGAGCTTGTACCCCGGAATTTGAATTGCTGCGTCGGAAACCTCCGCTGTAAGATGCGTCTCAGAAACCAGGAAGATGTCCGTTGAAGAATCAAGCTGAAGTGTGTCTTGGAGAGAAGCTATCTTGCTGCAGAGCCCGTTCACGTTACAATGTACAATGCTAATGGGGTACGTGTGCGACGTTTTTTCATTCTGCCTCAGTTTCCCAGCTGAGCGCGATCAGAGGGAGCGTCGGGTGGGCTTTCGCCCTGTGCGGGTCCGTTCAGTGGAGGATCAGAACCTGTGACATTGTCCCTGGCCGAGATGTTAGAGCCGGCGGACGTGGAGACGGCATCAGAGTCGGCATCGGTCGTAGGGTGGTCATCTCGCGGCTGTGAAGGAGCTTCTGCCGAAGGTTCCGTTGGTCGTTCTGTGGTAGGCGGGGTGGGTTCCAAATGGGCTGGACCTCCCACGGATCTGTCACCTCCAGACGAGCCATCCGCTGGTGCAGGGCTGGGCGGAGGAGAAGACATGCGCCGAGGCTGACCAGGGACTGGAATCGTGATGGTGGTCTTGGGTCTCGTCTGGTACTCCCGGTATCTGGCCTGGATCTCCATTCGCTGGAGGTAGGTGAGATCCTTCTTTATGTAAACGTGAGAGAAGGGAGAGTCTTTGAGCGTCTTCGCCTGCTCCAGGATGATCTTCCTCTGACGATTGTTGTGAACGTTCCCGCGGTACAGGTCGGCGTTGTTCTTGATACGACATGTTTCAGAGAGGACGACTTTCTCCCCAATGAGAGATTCAGTGACCTCCGCAAATTTTGCAGTAGCTTCTGCAGTTGATGCTGCCCTTAGTCCCCTAATCACAAGAGACGACCTCCTCTTCTTCCGTTCATCCAGCTCTAACAGCTCCTCTCGAACCATCATCCTGTACTCCTGGGTGTGGTGGTGCTGTTGGTTCGACTGGGGTTGGTGGCTTGTTGACATTTCCTGGGTCAGTGTGTGGGCTGCAGGACCCTGCCTTGGAACCCTAGAAATTCTAGAAATTCCTGTCAGCGCTTCTGCATATGTGTGCCCAGTACCTTCCCTTTCTGTGTGGGGAGACTCTCTGATTTGAGAATGGGTGAGCTGTTGAGTGCCTGTATCTGGTTAGACATATCAGTGATGTGGGTCTTGAGTTTTTTTCCAGACTGTCAACTTTCCTGAACAGCTGTGACAAGGCGCCGACAATCAACATAATATCAGATAGACAGCAGCTTTCAAGGAACTAAGAGTCAAGAGACAACAGCAAGCTGCATCATGGCATGCATGCCATCTATCAGAACATTGAGCGTAATGCAGGAATCAGTTCCCTGGTGTTTGTCAGTGAGAGAACTAGTGCCAATAACAAAAATCTCTCCATTGCAGTTTAAAGGAAATATGATCAGAGTACAGTCAATATGTAAAGACACTGGGTTCCATCAAGGCATCTCAGAGGTAAACTCACCCGCGCTGGGTCATGGTTGGGTAGATGCCCCAGCCGCAGTAGGACTGGCCTCTCAGGCTGGATCCACACTCGGTTGCTGGTCAATGAGCTGCCCCGGCACATGGCCCTGCTCTCCTCCAGGTCCACTGAGAACACATACAAATTATTTCCAGGTCATCAGACAGGGCACATGGAACAGACAAAATGAAATACTTTCACAATCAGCAAACTATTTTCATACGAAGATATATTTTTGGTTTATCTTGTCAGGCACTTTGTTATATGAAATATGAAATGTCTTACCGGTCATGTATCCATCTGCTGCACTTGCAGATTCAGCACAAACTGCTGACACTCCCAAACACAAAAACAGACATAACAAGCTGGTACACAAAGCCACTTCCTCCATAGTGTAAGCTTTGTTGTTGTGGCTAGGCAAAGCCTAACAAATCAAAATAATGCATTGCCAATACTCTTCTAGTTTCCACTGCCTCCCTCCTTGAAGAATGGATGAGGTAGCTCAAGCTCTAGTGAGAGTGAGTCATCTGACTTTAATCAATTCAGTGAAGTTGAGTTACGCCACACTCTCACACCACATCTATCGACAACTAAACCCACTCAAATCTGACAACGAGAAAGAAGAATTGTGAGTGAACTGAATTTGAAAGGGTATTTCCTGCCTGGAAATACCCTTGCAAATATACCCCACCGACCTAACTCAAGCTGGGGACCTATAGGGAAAACACACGGGAAGAAACAACGCAATCGCATCAAAATCAAGGTTGGAAAGAATGACTTAGCGAGATTGACCAAGTGACGAGGCTTACTAAATCCTGTGCTACCATATTCCTTTCCAAAGAAAGGTTACAAGAGTTTTGCGCTGATGGACAGCAAAAGATGTCGAAATAATCAATGATGATTTATGATGCCCATTTTATTAATAAATCAAATATTCTGAATTGCTTTTCAGCAATAAGCTTTCAGTGCTTTAAAACGAAGCTCATGAAAAATGCTGCGAAATAGGTACAGGAAGTCATAATTCTGCTGAAATTTGCGCTGCCATTATGGAACCACATAAAAAAGTTGAAAGGGACACCAAGATCCCAAGATACCTATAAGGCACAATCCCTTTGTCTTATTGATCCCATTTAAGAATCGTTATCTCAAAATTGTGTCTTGCTGAGCCTCGTCAAAATGCTAATGTAAACGCAACCATTTTAAGTTACACCCAGCGGCTCGATGGATCCTATAAAAATAGACACAAGAAAGCAGAATATATTATGGAGCTCAAAAAACTTAGAAATGGTGTAAGCATAAAAGAACACTTGTATAGTTTGGCACCATTACCGATTTCAACACGAGTACGATAATTTGACTGTCAATTCCTAGTCGAAAAGCAAATAGTTTTCCTTAAGTTTTTGTTGAAACAGTGATGTTGAATAATTTCATAAGATATCCTTGAAAATAAAATTCATCAAAAAATATTTAGATAAACGGTTTATCAATTTCTTCATTATGACAAATCAAAACGATCTTGTTACTGGAGTTTGGACGCCATTTGCCGCAGTTTGGGTGCGCTCCGCTAAAAAGTATTAATATTTTTCTTTTTTGGCCCTTATTATTCCTTTGAATCATGTCATAAATTAAATTGTGTTTCATCCCACCTTTCGAAATTACTTACTCTGTCCAATTCGCTTCATATTAGCATTTTTCTTTGTTTGGAGATCTGGGTAGCGCCATATTTTGTATAAATTGAGCACTCTTGATTGGTAACGGTTTGTATACAATAACGACGCGAATGTTTTTATCAAATGATTCACTTACTGGCTCTAATTTGAATTTATCTAAACACACATTATTGTTGGTTGTGATCAGCATCATTGATTTGGGAGATGGGGGCCATTTCATTGCAGACTGTAAGAATTATTTCGTTTTCCAGTTTGAAGTTTTTGTCTCATGAAAATGCCTTAGTTTGTGTAGGTAGTGAGGGAAGGGAAGGATAATGCTATATAGCCTTGAGATAATAGTCATTTGATTGGTATGATTTTCAGTTTCTTACTTCATTCCAGTGAAAATTGTCATTGTCAGGACACTGATTTTTTCTCTTAATGATACATTTTACCTTAAGCTTAATAGCAAGACCTCTTTATTCATTAACATACCCTTGTGTAGTTACCAATGTTACCATGAATAACAATGTATTCATGTAATTTTATGTGTTCGGACAGGCTGTGTTTTGCATGGAATTTCCTCTTTAAGGAATCCCTCGTGAAAATGTCCGTTTCAGTTTGGGCAGTGTGAAACACTAGGAATTTTCTTAAATGGTTTGGAGAGCCTAGAACATGCCACTCATTTTTACTAGGTAGTTGGCAGCTGCCATGGAAACTGTTCATCTATGTTGTTAGGTTCATGATGGATTATACACATTTTTTCTCATCTGAATCTTCTATTATGCTCTAAAATATGCTGTGAACAGCTGGTTGAGTGGTTTTACATGTTTATTTTTGCTGTGATTTTAGTGAAAATACAAGACAAATAATTTGAGTATTTTTTTATGAATAAGTAGTGAAGTAAAAATGAAAAGTAAATAAGGAAAAGCCTGCTTGAACGTTATGACGAATAGTCCCCATTCACCAATGGAGAAAAATGAAAGAGGCTGTCTGAATGCACGCCTTGTCTTGGTTTTTCTGCATACTGTATATTGCTTGCTAGTTGTCACTATACCAGAAGCGATGAATCAGAACAATGCCTAGATTTTATATTTTTGTGACAATGCTTTTTATTACTTCAAATCTACCTAATTAATTAAATGGTAGTTATGGCATAATTTGGAAGGTATTAATCAATTGATGAAAATTGGAAATTGGCATATGATATTTTGGAGGATATAGTACCTTATATTTTAAAAATTTGATAAGAAAAGCTGTTAATTATTCATTTCAGATTTTTGCAACTGTGAACTGCTTAACCCGCGCCCTGCTGGGGGGGGGTGTTTGAACACCCCCCCTTGGGGTTTTTCGCGAATATCTCAAAAACGGCGGCGCGCAGCGCCGCCGTTTTTGGTACACCTTATCATACATCAATTCTACACATGTTGTGAAAATTTCAGACCAAGGTCATTCAAGGTCAGGTCACCAGGTCACTTGAAGTGACCTCACCTCATAAAAAGTTTCAATGTCTGTCATAGCTACACCGAGTGACCGATCGCTTTGAAACTTTCAGCGATTGCTAAGAGCAATAGCATGTACAAAATGTTTATCTCAGAATTTTGATATCGATGACCTAAGGTCAGGTCAATTTTGCGACCTCCCCATTATAAGTCAATGGGAGAAAATTGAAATGCGCCTCTTTTGGACAAAAGACATTATAAACACTCCCAAACACCGAATTACAAGTGGTTTAGACACACTGAACATGAAAATGGTGTCCGTGACCCTTGTTTATGCCCTGAGGTCATCTTAGGTCACGAATGGTATCTAACAGTTTTTCGCTAATAACTTTTGATAGAGGCATGCTAGAGCGATGAAAACGCCTTAGATGTGTTCAGCTCGACGCTACGGATCGACTGATATGAAACATGACCCTTTCCGGTCAGGTCATGACCTTGACCTGAGGTCAAATTTTCAAGTTGACCTTTCAAGGTCAACTTATAGTTCATTCGATGCGTCTTGACGAGAGGAACACAATGCCGGTAAAAGTAAGCTCGTACAAGGCTTGGGTCAAAAGTTATTGCAGAAAAACTGTTTCCGAAAAAATCGGCTATTTTTGCAGTTTTTGCCCCCTGCAGGCAAAACCGTTGACGTTAGGTCAAATCTGAGAGAATTACTCAGAAAGGCCTTTAATAGGGCTATCGAATGCACTTTTCCGCGGCGCTGTAGCTCTATTGGTTCTCGAGTTATGCGTTGGCTTCTTGGAAATTTTCGACATTTGACCTGGAAATCGGCGAAATTTTGCCTTCAATGACCTCTGGTGACCTGACCTTTGACCTGACCAAAAAATTGACCGAAGTGATTTCCTCATTATTTTTGACGCTCTTTCGAACGCCGCCTTCCGCGTATCGCTACGTGGCCCAGGAGCCGAGTTACAAGGGGGGGTGTTCAAACACCCCCCCCCCCCCCAGCAGGGCGTGGAAATCCAGGACCCCCAGCCGGGCGCGGGTTAAAGTGCCTATAGTATACTATGGGCAAAGCTCAAGTATAGGTAGATCAATGCAAAAACATACCTCCCTGTGTAACAATGTTTCTTTGTGTTGCTCAAAATATTGAGCCTAGTCTGATTGCCTTTGTGCCTGCTAGTAGACTCTTTTTAAATGTCTCAATAAAACTGTATCAAACCCTGAACTAGTGCATCGGACTTCACTGCTGTATTTGTGTGTTGTGTAAGCATCTAGTTGATTATACTTCAGTAACACTGCATTTGTGATTCACAGGATACTGTCAATATAGCAGCTAGTGTCTACCAGTCACCATGAGGACTAGGACAGATGACAGGAAGAACACAATGCGTTCGGCGGGTCCGGCGCGCGGCCGTGGTGCTCCTCCGGTGCGGTACGTGGCCCGCAGTGTGCGCACCACGGTCGGAAGTCCGCCGCGCGGCAGCCCGGTGCTGCGGGTGGGCCGCGGCGCCCCGGAGCGGGCCGTCACCGCCGGTCCGTCGCGCTCGCCGTCCGGCCGGAGCCGCGGCCGACCGCCGGGCAGACCGCGCGGGCGGGGTCGCGGCCGCGGCCGAGCCCAGCCGGCCGCCCACCCGACGGACGAGGACGGCGACGAGCCATCCGAGGAGGACGAGCACGAGGACGATGGTGACGCTCGGCGGGGCAGCGGCGTATCGCCGTCGCGCCGGCCGGCCGCCGGCAGCTCGGCAGAGTCTAGCACAGAGGCCGACGAGAGCGGCGACGACATGCTGATGGACGTGCTGGCCTCCGGCGACTTTGGCCGCGCCAGCCGGAAGCGGCAGCTGCCGGCTCGGTTCCGGGACGCGCCGCTGCAGCCGCTGGTGCGACGCCGGACGGCCAGCAGCAGCTCGGCTCGCGGTGACAAGACGCCCGGCTCGCCCGACAAGGATGCGCCGGCCGGACGCGCCGCCGCCGCCGACCGGCTGTCTGTCAAAGTCGAGCCGGTTAGGTCTCCAGTGCGCGGCTCGCCGCTGAAGCAGGACCGCTCTCCGGTGCGCTCGCCGCCCACCATCGCCGAGAAACTGGAGCGGCAGGCGGCCGAGGAGGCCCGCGCCGCCGCCGCCGCCGTCGCCGCCGAGCGGGCGCCGTCGCCCGAGGACAAGGAGCCACTGGTGATGGAGCCGCTGGAGACGCTGACGGACGCCATCGAGCTGGACCACGGCATCCACTGCGCGCCGCCGCCGGCCTCGCCGCCCAGGAAGCGGCAGCGGCTGCAGTCGCGGTCGGGCGAGGCGGCCGGCCCGGCGGCGCCGTCTGACCACGCCGGCCTGGTGGACACCCAGCTGTTCCACGAGGAGCTGGTCGAAGAGCAGGGCGAGGTGATGGTCTCCGGCCAGCTGGACGAGGACGACCTCATTACCATGGAGCTGGACACCATGGAGGTGCCGCTGCCCGTGGAGACGGTGCCGCGCCGGCCCTGCAAGATCTGCCACCGCCAGTTCAAGGTGACAAACCTGAGGCAGCACATGCTGACCCACACGGGCATGCGCCCGTTCAAGTGCGAGATCTGCTCGGCGGTTTTCACGCGGCGCTCCGACGTGTTCCGACACGTCAAGATCGTCCACCAGCAGGAGAAACCGTTCAAATGCTCCAAGGACGGCATGGAGTTCAGCGACCGCAAGGCGTTCAAGATGCACATGGAGCGACACAAGCAGCCTGCGCTCTTTGCCTGCAAGGTGTGTGACTTCCGGTTCGGCAAGTTCGAGTACTACGTGAACCACCTGAAGTTCATCCACCCGACGGGCGAGCCGCTGCCGGCGTTCCCGGAGGACGTGGAGCCGGAGCCGGAGCCGGTGGCGCCGCCGCGCGGCCGCTACGGGCCCACGCCGCTGCAGGCCTTTCTGGACGACGACGAGGACGACTCGCGCGGCGCCGGCGGCCTGGAGCACGGCATGGGCGAGGAGCTGCAGCTCGCCGGCGGACTCGAGAACATCGAGACCGAGGAGATCCCGCACGACTCGATGCACCTGGTGTCGGCGGGCGCGGCTGGCGAGGCGGCCGGCGCGGCCACGGCCACCCTGCTGCCCGACTCGGCCGTGCCGGACGTGGTGGAGGGCCAGGACGTGGTGATCGGCGCCGCCGGGCCGGCCGGCGACTCGCGGCCCGAGCGGCCCGGCACAGACAAGGACGACCCGCCCGAGCAGATCAACTTCCCGCCACTGGAGGAGGACGCGGCGGCCATCCTGGGTATGACCGACCTGGCGCTCACCAACGAGAACACCTCGCTGGCGGCGGCGCTCGAGGAACGGCCGACGCCGCACACGCCGGCCGGCGGGCCGGTGGTGGTGCTCTCGGGCGCCGGCGGGACCGGGCGCCGCTTCGCCGACCCGCTCATCTCGACGCGCGCGCTGACCCAGTCGCAGCCGCGTGTGGTCACCATCGGTAAGCCGGTGACGCCTGTGAGCGGCGCCGGCGGACCCAAGACGGTGCTGCTCACCCGACCGCGCATGGTCGCCGGCAAACAGGTGCTGCAGGCCGTCAAACTGGGCGCCGGACAGAAGCTGGTGTCGGCGCGCGTGCCGACCGTCCGCGGCGCCGGCGGCCGGCAGCCGATAGTGCGCCAGGTGGTCGTGAACCGGCCGTCCGGCGACGGCACGCCGGTGCGCGCCGCCGTCGCGCCGCGCCCAGTCACCACCCGGGTGGTCCGGCCGGCCACTCGGATACTGCCGGTCGCCGGCCGGCGCACGCTGGCCGCCGCCGCCGCCGGCCAGCACCCGAAGACGGTGTCGCCGGCGATCCGCGTGGTGCGGCCGGCGGCCCCGGCGCCTACCCCCGCGCCCGCGCCCGCGCCTGCCCCGGCGCCGGAGTCGCCCCGCCAGCCGCCGGTGACCGTGGTGTCCGCAGAGCCGACGGGCGACGACACCAAAAACATCGAGGTGACGACCAGCACGGCCAGCGGCTCGCGGACCATCATCCTGCAGACGAGCGGCGGCGGCGGCGACATCCTGCAGTCGGAGGAGGCCATGCAGACGCTGCTCGAGGCCGTCCAGCAGCTGGTCTCCGCCTCCGGGGACACGCTCGAGGGCAAACAGATCGAGATCGTGATGCAGAACGATGGCCAGCAGAGTGGCGCGGCGCCGGCTGAGGCCGAGGCGTCCGACGCCGCGCCAGAAGTGTCGCAGTAAGGCGCCGCGGAGTGGACTGCCCGACCCGACCAGGGTCCCCGATAGACCGTATGAACCGCGCGCACAGCGCCGTCCAATCAGTCGGCGCCCAGTGTACAGTGTACAGAAGTGACTGGCGCGCCAGCGCCGCTGCCGCAAATTAATGCTTTTGTATTTATGTGATCTCTTACACCTGAATGGTTCAAGGCGGACGTATGTTTTGTTGGTTTTGTTGAAGCGCACCTGCTTGTCGCAGTGTTTGCTCGCGTTTTGGTGGTTTCCTGTGCCGGTTTCCGGACTGATGCGTCGCGCGCCCGTGAAGACGGGACTGCGGAGGCGTTCCGGCCTCCGCCGTCGCTCCCGACCCGTGTGTGGAACAAGTCGGGAGATGTGGCTTTGTGAGTCAGCAGTCAGTCGCAGGGCCCGACGCACTCGTTACTATACGCCGCGTCGGCTAGAGAATATTACGGTAGATATAAGTATCGGAGGCTTGCGATGGACGTGTCGCCGACAGGTCCTACATGTCATCATCATATTGCAGTTGTGTCGTGGGCGTTACGCATTCCCATGGTCATCCTCGCTCGTCCATATCGCATCAGTTGCGCTATAAATGATCGCATCATCATCACAATAAACACCTGCCAGATCAGTCAGTTTGTCAGGGTTGTCAGACTTCAGTTCTTCCTCACGGTCCTGCACTGACGACGGTTTCCACGAACGGGAGTTCAGTTTTGGTCAGTGGTTGTCCATGCGACTGGGCCACGCACAGGGAGCTCCGAGCTCTGCCGAAAGCGAGCACGCACTGCCGGTGGCGGGCAGGGCGAACGCCACCGGTCCCACCTGTCGGCGGGTCACGTAACTACGGCTGTCGCAGTTGTCGGTGGTCTCCACCCTCCACGGATAAATCGGTACTTGACAAGAGAGAAGATTGTTGCAGAGCTGAAAACTGGCGAGGCCGCTAAAGGGATTTCTGGACACGACGACTTTCACCGTTCACGAGTGGTGAAGTTTTAAAGAACGACGGACGACCACAGTAACGAGCACGGAGAAATGCAACAGCCAAGGCTGGGTTTGAGAAGCACAGCAAGACAGGCACTAGGCCGCCGCGGGTCCAAGTACAGTATCCAGGCAGTGCTTCGCGTTCAACGTGCTTGTTTACCGCAGTGAATCTATTAATTATTTTCTTGGGCAACGCTTGCCGTGGCAATGTTCCGTCGAATGCCAATGTCATGGCGTCCCTTTGCGGCACCTGGCTTCCACTAGCTTGCATCTTATGGTGAGGACGACTCGTTACGGATCGACAATCAACAAGTTGCGATCTTCACCGTCACTTATCAATATCGTCAAAAGAGTAGATAAAGACGAGGGGCTATATCATTTTATCATTCAGTACAGATCACAGACACTTCGTAGCAACCACTCGGCAAGTACAATAGATAGCACCGCATAACAAACAATCAGAACTGACAATCCTATTTTATTTTATACTTGGAGTTCTTCTGGCCCGGCTCGACCTCGTATTCCTCCCAGACGGGGAACGCCGACGGCCGCTCGGGTTTCGCTGGTTCGATCACTTCCCCGCGCTGTTCGGCCAGTTTGGCGGCGTTGATCTTTTTCAGCTCCATGATGGCCCTGTTGCGGGCGACCTCGTCGTCGGTGGGCGGCTGGGCGCGCCGCCGGCGCAGCCAGGCCTCCCATTCTGCCGGCATCTCCTGGTCGAACTGCTGGCCGGCCGGGTCGATCCACCGCCGCGGGTGGCGCTTCCCGCGCGATGGGTCCGCCGGCGCCTCGTAGTACTTGTTGCCAAAATGGTCAGAGCCCACCAGATTTCCGGATGGGCGGTTCGGAGTGATGGACTTGAGAAAGTTTCTGAAGAGAATTGCCAGTACATTCCGTTCTGCAGGCATAGTTACTGCCCAAGCACTGAAACAAAAAAAAAAGAAAAAAAGACAATTTGTCAGCAACTGGTAGGTACTGAGCTTCTTTACTTTGAGTCCTGCAAGAGAAAGGTCTCAAAGAAGAACATGTATGGCTCACAACTGCTGCCACATCAGAAGTGGCAGACAGTTGTGGAGGGATGAATGTAAACTGGAAACCTGTGGTTCACACTCCCCTAAATGCCATCCAACATATTAATGGCATTTGGCAAGCAGCGACACAATTAAAATTTTACAAGATCACTCTGCAACTAAATACCTAGCAGGAAAGACAAATAGTTTTCCACCTTTGACTGAAAGGGGCAGGTAAGCTAAAAATATATTTTTAAAAATTGTTTAACACTGGATGACCAGAAGGTAAAGTGAGTAAATCATAGCAAGTTCATGCTCATAACTACAGGTCTTAAGTAAGTAACCATGCCCACCAATTCCACACAAGATTAGCATGTAGGTAGATACAAGGTATCTCATGGCTAGACTTGAAAAGTGCCTAATTAAAACATAAGTTTTATTGGGAAAACCCCATAGGCGCGGGAGCCGGGGGGCAGCTTGCCCCCCCCCCCCCGACTCTGGGGCCGTGGGGGCGGTGCCCCCACAGCTTTGAGACAGAATACCACACTTTTTTTGCAAATGTTTTCTTTTTTTGTTGAAAAAGCCAAGGGGTGAAAAATAAGTGGCCTAAAACCGGTGAGAAACTAGATTGAGATTTGGGGGTACCCTAGGTTAATCTCTATTATGGTGTGCCCCCCAGTCAGAAAGTAGTTCCCGCACCCCTGGAAAACCCTTTGCACAGGGGACTGTAACAAATCAAAATCTGAATTTTTTTATTGGAGAAACTTTTTAGGGGGCGTATGTAGTATGTAAGTACAGTAATCCTTTGTGTCATAAACCACAAGATCGTATTTTGATTTAGGATTTACTGTATACCACCACGTGTATTAGTATATTACCGTTTACACCACTCGACTCCGACGTTCAGTTATGTAATGCCTCCCAAAAAAATGTCCTATACATCACGCTGTGTAAGTAATCCTAATTCAATATACCCTGAGTAATACATCGCCTACGATCTACTCATTATTATTGTTTATTTCAAGGTTTGCGTTCTTTTGCTATGCTGTTTTTTCACCTGCCCCGGTATCTATGCCAGGTCCCTGTAAATTACGTAGGCATAGCTACTATTATGCTTCAACTTTGACTTTAATGTAAATATTTCTGCATCTCTTAGCACAAAAAAATAAAAACTGTTGAAATTAAGTATATTTGTTTTTGCACAATAGTACAAATAATGAAATGCGAAAAATAATTATCTAAGAAACGTCAAATACCTATACGTCAAGTAATAAAAGGTATTTCAAGCATTGCATATAAAAGACCATCCTGAAAAAGCTTACTTTTCAGCTTATGAAATATTACGTCACTGAAACAGCTAAGAAACGTTGCGTGAAAGTTTTTTCTGCTCTTGAGATGCAGAGACAAAAACATCCGGCTTTGACTTTTGAGTATTAATTTAATAAAAAAGTTGTTCGATTTAAGAACAGTAGGTTAGAATAAAAACATTCTTCAAAAGATTGTTTTCAAGTTCACTGTTATTTGTGACGTCATGTATACCTTAAAAGATGAAACTTTGCCAAAAGGTTAAAGTGGAGCTTCGATTCATTTGCGACGCGTCTTCCACTTCATTTCGCTTGCAACTTTCATGGGATGAGGATCGGGCGGTATCGTCATTGAAGTCCGAAATAGAAGATATTTATATCTGGGGCTGAAGCTGGGAGCCGTTGTAAGTATTTACTTATACTTACTTACTTATACTTATAAAATGCGGAATTTAGGAAGGCCTCTTGGCCTCTTGGATCCGGACGTGACGAGCTTTGTGTCAGTGTGTCACTGCATCAGTCGTTGGAATGTATGGTGTACTTGGCGTGAGCCCAGTGTTCGTCAAGCCTGGCCTTGAAGCTATTGACTGAGGGCGCATCGACGACAGCGGATGGCAGAGAGTTCCAGTCGTTCAGGACTCGTATGCTGAAGGCGTTCCGCCGCACTCTGGAGACAGCTCTTGGCTTGGACAGCTTCCACTCATGCCCTCGAGTTCTGGTCGTCGTCGCCGCAGTGAAGAACTGAGATGGGTCAACATCCACTCCCCGTCGAAGCACCTGGTAAACCGAGATCATGTCGCCTCGTCGGCGCCGATAGTAGAGCGATGGCAAATTCAGGCTCCGGAGTCTCTCCTCGTATGGCAGGTGGCGGATGCTGGCAACCAGTCTCGTGGCCCGTCGCTGTACCCGTTCAATGCGCTTCTGAGGGCTGTTCACGGGCCCTGTGTGCGGTTGGACCGCACACAGCCTCCAAGCTCCGCCCACTGCGTCCCTACGTCAGCCTTCCGTCACCGCACACAGCGACCGCTGTGGCCGGTCGGGACCGGCCACAGGAATCCGTCCACCGCACGCAGCCGTGACGTCAGAGCCGCCTACCCATCCCCTACCCCCACGCCTGCTGGACGCACCGCACACACCGCACGCAGCAGTGTGCGGTGCCCGTGAACACCCCTCTGGTCTTCTCGGTTGAAGGCCAGAAGATGGGAATCAGTTTTTGATGGGAATCAGTTTTTAACTATCTCCGTGTTTTAGCCTAGAGCTGCATAAGCTTTATTTGAACCTAGGTAAGGTTAACAGTTGTTTTAAAAATTGGAATGTTGCTCCACAGGCTGTATTTCTCCAATTAATATTCCAGTTTTTATAGACCTAAAATTTTGGATTTTGTGTAATTATTTTCTCTTTTTGCAAGCTTTTAGAAAAAAATGAAACTTGCTATCTAAATTCTAAAGGCAAATTATGAAAAAATTGCCTGTCCCGTAGTTGAGTTGGTAGTGTTGGACTGCCAGAAGTAAGATCCCGATCCCGGGTTCCAGTCGCTCCGGCGCTTGATATTTGAGACTCCTGATGGGGACCGTCTGCACTCTGCACTCTGCGGTTGGTGGGAGCAGCCGCAGCCCGTTGAAGTCAGTCGAGTGGGACGGGTCGTATCCGGCTTTAAAGGGCACCTTTAACTTTGGCATCGAAATTCCTCCGGTCACCCGGCATTGCGCGGTTACCCGGAATGCGCGATCGTACGGGGTCTACACAAACTCAGCTTAGCGTAGGCTGTGGTTCTGTCAAGCCATCCATTCGAGCTAACTTTCCAACATTCGAGCTAACTTTGTAAAAACTGAGATAGCATTTGAAAGAAAGTAGATTTAGATCAGGGATGCAGAGCCGTGGAAATTTCAGACAGCTCCGGCTCCGGCTCCAATGCCCGTACATCCCCTATGCAATTAAATACGGGTGGAAGAAAAAAGGTGATGGGATTGGTGCACGTTGCTTCTGTATTTGCATAACAAGGATATTTTCATATTTTGAATACCGCATGTTTTACTGCCTTGAACTGTCAAACCCAACTAGGTCAATGCTTTTTCCTCTTCAAAAAAAGGAGCCGGAGTCGCCCCCTTCTATGACGGCTCCGGCTCCGGGCTACATTGTTTCACGGCTCCGGCTCCGGGCAAAATATCTCCGGCTCCGCACCCCTCTTTAGAATCATGTATAGGGTGCGGCAAAAGTATTGATACCTTCCGTCTTTTTGTAATAACTCAATGCATTTCCCACATGCCCCCGAATATGATATTTCTGAGCGCGCCCTTGCGTACCCGCATCCTTCCCCGAGGCGGGAATTAGCTGAACAGCTGACCTCGACCCAGAGGGTCGCCGGCCGGGGTCATTATCCACCCGGTGGCCGCTGCAGTAGCCACGGCCGAACCATGAAGGTCAAACAATACAGTTTGGAGGCTCGCAGCCGCGCCATTGGCATGCTCCAAGCCGGCAAGACGCAGAAAGACGTTGCCTCACACTTTGGGGTCCCAGTCCTCACCATCAAACGCTGGTGGAAGAAGTTTAAGGAGGCAGGGAGCGTCGCAGATAGACCGTGGTCAGGGCGCCCTTCCAGCATCTCGACCGTCGCCAAGATCGTGATGAAGAAAGCGGCTGGAAAATCTGACCACTCGGCGAGGAAGCTGTCCAAACAGCTCACTCGGAAGAAATATCCGGTGTCCAAGAGGACTGTCCGCCGGTACTGGAGGAACACCCTTGGACTGAAGGCCTACAAGATCCGCGTACGGCCAAAATTAACGGAAAAACAGCGAGCACAGAGGCTTCAGTTTTGCAAGGAACGCAAGAACTGGACTGTGGAAGAGTGGAAGCGGGTACTCTTCAGCGACGAGTCTCCCTTTCAACTCTTCCACCACCCAAACCGCCAGAGCGAGCGAGTGTGGGCTGAGAACCCGGCTGAAGTCCCGAAGGCGTTCAGCGTCAAATTCCCGCCGAAACTGATGGTGTGGGGCATGATGTCCTACGAGGAACTGAGCCAGCTGCACGTGATCCCGCAGATGACGTCGGTCAATGCCGAGTACTACGTGGAGCACATCCTCGAGGAAGTCTGCCTCCCTGCCATCAACAGAACGGCCACGACGGGCTCCGTCCTCACGCGCCGCATGGTCGAGCGCAGGTCGGACAGCATTTTCATGCAGGATGGCGCTCCAGGTCATCGGTCTGCCAGAGCGCAGAAGTGGTGCCGGGAGCACCTCCCCAACTTCTGGGCTAAGGACACGTGGCCAGGGAACAGCCCTGACCTGAATCCAATTGAAGAGCTCTGGGGGATAATGCAGCAGGAGCTGGACAAGAAAAACCTCCCAGCAACCTTGGACAGCTCGAGAAGGCGCTCAAGAGGACGTGGGCGAACATCAGCCCACAGACTCTGAAGAACCTGGTGGCCAGCATGCCCGCACGTCTCTCACTCTGTGTCCAGCTTCGTGGAGAATACATTGACCGCTGAAATGAAACTGTTGTTTTAATCTTACGGGAGGGAGGGAATGAATGGTAAGGTATCAAAACTTTTGCCGCACCCTGTATACTGACAGTAAAGTAAATGACATACTTTGCGGTTATACATCTTGATTCCCTAAAACAACTGAAGAAGTTAGAAGCGATTGAAGTTTTGCAGTTTTTAAGTGAATGTGGCGTGACCATGACATGTGACCACGTGGTGACATGACATCACCAAAACGTATTCTTCACAAATGTGTGATAGTTTTGTTCATATTTTCAGGGAACATGTCTGTCATGTCATTGTCAAAATTATGTTTTGTGATGTACTTAAAGTTTGATGTAGATAGCATAACAAGTAAAGAAGCTATTGGCACAAAATGGGAGGGGCAGATTCTTCCCCCCAGTGGGGTGCAGTTTAGCATGCCATGTTTAGTACTGATGTCTTGCTTAATATGATTTTCGCCATCTGCCTTTATATCTATCTAGTAAAGTGTGTTATACAGAGAGCTGACCAGATTTGGTGTGCCACTGCCGTTTCAGCTTGTTTGTTAGTTCCTCAAGTACAGGCTTACCTGCAGATGTGGAGCAAGTCTTATCAGCAATACCCGTGGTTCTGTGATTCCCTGCGTAAGTAGAAAAAATCATTACAATATTCTAGCATCAGAATGCGATGACAACACATTCTAAGCCCTCATATGTCAATATTGCTGAATTGTAAACCACTAAAGGTGATGGTAATTTTTTTGTTTATATGATCTATTCTGTAATTAAGGTAGCCTAGTTTGATTATGCAGTGAGTATCTCTGAACAGCCAGCAGCTCGCTTGTAATGTATCCCGTAGGGTGTACAGCGTGCCAGGATTACGCCTGGGAGTGTAGAGGCGCGTGTAGGCTGATTTCTTTGCTGGTTATATCGCTGCTAGTCGGCTGTCTCTGACGGCGCCGCGCGCCCGATTTCAGGCATCCACCGGGAGCTGTACGGCCTGCACCAGACGTTCAAGTGGCTCCACCTGACAGTGGCTCTGCACTCGTACCTGGTCTATATGTCCTTTGACGGATTGCATCACTGAACTCGCAACACCTAATAGCCGTTTTAATTTTTGTTTGCGTTTTGGCAAACGTAGGTTATCCCCTGCGACCCGTCCGGTCCGTCCCGCGACCCGCTCTGTATCGCTCCTCTGCTCCGTCTGAACTATCCGGACCATCGGCGTCATGTCTTCACTGCTGTTGGCCCGTCCGTCCGTCCGGCTGCCGCTGCTGGCCGCCGGCCGGCGCGCGCTCTCGGCTCGGCCGGCGCCGCCGCAGCCGGAGGCGCTCTCCGTGTTCCTCTCGCAGTCGCACAACGTGTTCACCAACCTGGCGCTGGAGGACTGGCTGTACCGCAACTTCCGCTTCGGCCGGCACAACCTGCTGATGGTGTGGCGCAACGCGCCCTGCGTGGTCATCGGCCGCCACCAGAACCCGTGGCGCGAGGTGGACACGCACCACCTGCACGCGGCCGGCATGCCGCTGGCGCGCCGGAACAGCGGCGGCGGCACCGTCTACCACGACCTGGGCAACCTCAACCTGACCTTCTTCAGCGCGCGCGAGCAGTACGACCGCGCGGCCAATCTGCACCTGGTGGCCGACGCGCTCCGCCAGGGCTGGGGCTTCGACATCACCGTCAACGAGCGCGACGACCTCCTGCTCGACGGCGCCTTCAAGGTCAGTGCGCCGCCGGCCCGGGGTGGGGCTTATCACAGCAACGGCTAGCGGTATTAGCGGGAAAGAGTCTGACGGGAGCATGTACAGCACCTGTTATTTAATGTCGTGACGTTTGCTTTGCTATGCCAAGTACGATGTTTTTCCACGTCTCTGATGCTCGGAATCAGAATGCATAAACAACTTTATAATCTGTTTTCGCTGGCAAATTGCTTCCGTCAAAAAGAAGATAAGTCAGCGTTGATAACCATATTTAAACTCGACATTTTCTGGTTGAACTCCTCGCTCAATATTTCTCATCTCCGAAGTTTTCAGCGGCTGATGGTATAGCGAAACGAGCCTTTCCTCTGTTATCACTGTATCGTGTCGGTGTTTTTCCTGAGACCTTGTCAGCGTCACTGAAGTAAGGTCAGCCTGGTGCCGTTAGACGCACAGAGCCGGGTCCAGCCACACGTCCTGTGAGGTCAGGATCGAGCAGACCCTGCCTCTCCAATCCATGAGCACACTCTGCATGTCCGATTCATTATGCGCATATTGAGCGAGTTTAGTACACGCTGCTGACATGGCGAGTATATCAGAGTCTGGGCGCCATCGGATCTGGTCATCGCCCTTCTTTTTAGTATGGCTAGACCGGTGATTTGGTCCTCGGCTGCTCTAGGTTGATGCATGTTTTCATTATTACGGGCTGATCAGGATTCAATTTCGGACCGGTCTTCGTCGATGGATGACTGAGGCCGTAAAAATGCGCCTGCAGTGTCCCGAAATTTGCCAGCTTGGGTGGGAAGCGACACCCAAATCAAAATAATTTTCCACTCTCACCTCCAATTTTCCAGAACGATTTTTCACTCCCTGTTTTACCAATCAGGAGCATCTGCGTGTACCTTTTACCTCCCTCTACATTGTATTTAATCGTCCTATAATGCAGCTCCCGCACCCTCCCCAACATTCACAAATAAATTGTTGATATCTGTTTTCCGCTCTTTTCGTGCCTTCCTGACTGGCAATTTTCCACTCTCAGCCCTCTTTGTAGTGACGAATATTCCCCTCCGACACCCAATCCAAAATATATTTTTGGGACACTGTGCGCCTGGGAAGTGGGCATTGTTATTGGGTATAGTTATTGTGGCAACTGCCACCTAGTTATGCCTTGAAACTGGCCCTGTATCACTTTTCTCAATACCATAACTACGAACAGCAATGACACACATTTGAACCCGGTTAGTCAGGTATCAAAAATAGATCCGTTTTAGCTCGCGGAACTTCTCCGCTGTTCTGTTCAGCACTCTCCGTCTGGAATTACAAGGCCGCCGCCCGTCCACCTCTGCCGCCGTTTCCGGACGATGCCAGTGTCCGCGGACGCCGCTCGGCGCGGCTGGCTCGGCGGCGGCCCGCGCGCAGCTGCGTGGTGCGTGCAGCCGTGCAGCCGTGCACCGCCCGCTGCTGCCACGCGCCCTTGGAGCCACAAGGTCGAGCGCGCCGAGCTGTGTTTGTCGCTTGACGCGGACCTGCTTGGAAGGCCAGATGGACGCGCAAAATAGCCGGCTGGTAACCGGACCGAACTGCTGAAGGATGGCTGGTATTGAACAGTGAGGCTATACATACTTATTTGAACGTTGGCCTGAATCTCTCTGAGAGACACGAGTATGCGAGTTTAGTTCCGCGGCGCTAAACACAGGCTCTGCCCAGACGTGCTTCTCATATCGTAAGAAATCAACTATGCGGATATCTCTCGTATAGCGGTAGGTATGTATCCGCAACCGATCAGCACAGAACGCTCCCGTGGCGTACCCCTACCCCGCCCCGGCCCCCGCCGACGTCCTTGTCCGGAGACTTCCGCTGCCGGCTGGGCCCAGGGCCGCTCAAACGGCTGGCGGGATCTGTACCCAGCCCCGCAGATTCGTCGCAGAAACGGCGGGAGTCTCTGTGAGCTGCGGCACGACTGCGCCCATCTCCGAGTCCTGGGACTCTGGCTGGGTTACCGGCGCTGCTTTGGTCCCGGGTCGGGAGGAATCGGTGCCGGGCGGATGGGAGGCGGTCGGTGCGCCGGCCAGTCAAGTCCGCTTCGCCGGCGGCAGGGGCGGCGCCAGGCACGACGCGTGCGAGGTCTGTTTATGGAGCCTCCAGAGGCGGCGCCAGGCCAACAAATGGGAGTCAGGTAGAGGCGAGTTTTCGTTTCTCAAAATGTTTTGTGAGCACAAAACGAGTGGCGGTGCCGTTATGGATAACTTTTATGAAGCCATTGATAATTAAATGATCCATATGTGCACGGAAAGACACAGGAGGAAATGTAGTTTTCTGGCTTTAAATCTAACTATCTTTGTTGAAGAGATTCAGTGTAGAGCGCCGCTCTCCGCGTTACTGATCTCGTCCGCTCGTCACTACCCATAGGAAGCCGTTACTGATGTAGCGGTTCGTCCGCTCGTCACTATCTGTGCTCTCTGCTGTGTATCTCGGTCGGACGGACGATGGGGCTGCTCGCTCGAGGCCACCTCTGCCCCCCCCCCCCCCCCGCTGCCGTGAGGGGGCGGGCCGGGGAGGGCGCGCGATGGGACGGTGGCCTCCATGGGACAGACGGCCGTGTGCTGTGCCGGTCCGGTTTTGGTTAGCTCTCGGCGTGGTACGTTGCACGGCCGGTGCAGCGCGGCTCTCTCCCGGCGCTGGCGGCGGCGCCGGTGTTCCTCCGGTCACGTGTCGGCCGCGTGACTGGCGCTGCGGTGAGCGGGTACGCTGCGTGCGACCGGCCGGCCAGCCCGGCTGCCCGCGCTCCGCTGCCTGTCACCTCGCCGTGTAAAAACAACTCCGCACCGGCACAGGCGCGGCGCTCAGCTGACCCAACGCTGAGCGCTCCCTTCTCCCGCCTCTTCTGGTCCGCCCGTCCTCAGTCCTGTCCAGTTTCAACCAGTTTTGGGCAGCCTTTGGGCTGAGTGGGGCGAGCGGTAGTCCGGTAACGAATTTATTATCATAAATAGAGCTGTTCGGGGAACGCCAACCCGGCGGGATACCATCAGAGTTCAGGACGAGTTTGAAGTGGATGCGTCGGTTACGAGACCGAGAGGCCTCTTCGAGTTATGGCACCTGTGATTGGTTCGTTTCCTGGCGTCCGGGGGCTTGGTTCGGGGCCGCGGAGGCCCGTCTGGCCCGACATGTCCGAAGGTCACACGGACGGACCACGCGAACCCAAACAGCCGACTGTGGTCGGGCTGGGCAGAACCGCGTGAGCGTGGGACTATGGGAGGGGTATCGTGCTATCGTTTTGTTTAGCGTGTACTGAACTTCTAAGGATGTGTAAGAGGGACGTTTGCAGTATCTCTCGAAGCCAGAAAACGTTGGGCTAACGCGAACATTCCCAGTGGCTTTGAAGCTTGAATTACGTCACTCCGCGGCTATGTTCCGTGCTTCGGACTCGGTATCTAATCCGTGCATGATGAAAGACTTCTTGCAACCACGACGGTATGGTCTTAGACCGTAGCTCACGGAATTCGCAGAAACGCTGACTTACCTTCTCAATAATTGACCAGTCTGCTACCCAACAATTCAAGTTAGTCTACGCTACAAAGATGGGTCATATATTATCTAGCCTTTACCTTGCAAGCCAAGCCCAGATCCTCCCTTCGAGGCGGAGTTTCTCGGCGGATCGATCTCGGTCGTTTGTTGCCAACCGAAATCCTTTGTCGGTGGTCTTGACCCCGTTATTGTGTGGGTTCCTGCCAGCTCCTTGGCATCAACAGTCGCGGGGCTTGGCCATCGGCGCCGTTCAACTCATTAGATGGCGTCACCTCAGAGACGTCAACTGTCAAAGCTGTGACCTCATCCGTGGACGGGGCCTGACGTGATTTACCTACTCCGGAGGTGAATATGGGAAAGTGCTGCTGGCATATGCAGCTGGCATGGATCTTTGTCTGATGACGTCATTAATGCTTAAGTGGTGACGTCACAGTCAGTCAGGGACGGACGGTTCGAGTACTGTTATCTGTCGGTTTTGCGAATGCAGCGGTCTCGAAGTTTGACGTGTCATGCATGTGCGGTATTATCTGTAAGAATCTTGGTGCGGTATTATGGCCGCAACGCAGGTGACAGATCATTCATCTACCTGGACTGTGTCTTCATGTGCGCTGTGTAGTGTGTATCTTTTCACCCCTCCCCCGTCATGCGCAGCATATCTCCCAGTGCTGTACCCCGTTGACCCTGTGACCCCGACCCGCTGACCCTGTGACCCCGGTGCTGTGACCCCAGCAGAGAGCGTCCCCCGTCTGACGGTCCCCGCTGCTCGCCAGGTGTCCGGCACGGCGGCCAAGCTGACCAGGAACACCGCCTACCACCACCTGACGCTGATGGTGAACGTGGACACGGACAGCCTGCACCGGTCCCT